GTACCGATATTTATTACATTTTATATCCCCCCAATTCATCAGTATATTCAGTTTAATAAACAATTTATTTTTAAAGTCATCTAGTACATACTGATATATTATTACAGTATTATAAGAGACTATTATTATATAATGGGAAAATATTTACATAAAACCATCTAACTAYTAAAACAGCAAAGGTTAGGGTTCAAATATATATTATGCCCYAAAAGYATTATAAATATTTACATAAGAACATCATATGTTATAAAAATTCAAAATAGGTAGGTCGCAGATATAGTACTATATATAATATCATAAAGATATTACATTTCAAATATAATATATAAATCACATAGGATAAGTATAGATATTTAGTAATACTTAGTCTTAGTGTTTAGTTTTATAAAATCATGAATTTATAGACTTTAACGATAACGTTTTTAACTGTGATTTAAAAACAAACGAGTAATACATATTTTTACAGTTTAGTTAATAAATCTATAAATAATATGTAAACGGGATCAATATATCTAATGGAATAAGTGGTATTCTTAATTGTTATTCTCAATGTAGATGTCTGCACATATCACACATTTGCGTCCTCGAGAAAAATTGTTTGCGTCCATACGTATATACACATTATTTCAATTTTCAATTTCAAACCTAACCTATTTAAAATATAATGGATAACGGCAGCCATCAAAGACCAAACGTATGAGATATTCACGGTTATGTAAAGTTAACTTATGGTGTATCGTGTACGAGTTGGAGTTTAAAGAGCATCATTTAATATAATATGAAAATACCAGTAAAACTGGTAGGAAAGGGTAACCTACTATGTTTGGATTTGAATCGTAAAAAATGATGATAACAATGATAATGAACCTACCAATACTTAATGATCACAATATTTTATTATATTGATTTATGAATATAAAATACATTAAAATATTGTTAAATAGTAAATACTAGAATTATTTAATGGTCAAAATTAGTTTAATATAACCACATTCATTTTAACATGAACAATTAGATTTACAGTAAGATCGTAAACTTTTATTTCGCCATTATCAGATTTTGTAGTAGTAAAATGAACGGTATTTAAAAAACATAAAATAATAATAAATTTGTATAGAAATGACGAATTATTAAAACTGGTTTCATACTTGAAAATGAGAATTTATTAGTTAGTCATATAGACAGTGGCGTAAACTGGGGGTCACACGGAGTTGCATTTGCGACCTCTGAAAATATTATAGAGTTGCAAGAGTACCTTTTTGCGTCCCCGAAAATCACAATTTCAGTTTTCAAAAAAATACAATATCAATAATTATTTAATTCATTGACTAGTTTATATTTTGAGAACAAATTTTTATTTTGTTTTGAATCACTGGAATTATTATTATATTATATACTTTCCACATTTTCTTATAGTTTTGTTTTTGACCATTTTCTATTAATATATACMTACCAATATGTATTTATTGTGATCGGCAGAGTCGAATCTCAATGGTAGCTGAATATTAATAGTGAAAACGTGTTTCACTATTTTATGTTTATAGATTAAAATTATTATTATTTGTTTTACATATTCATTTATTTTTTTACACTTGTATTTATTTCTTATTCCGTGAACGATGCAAAATTAAAAGTATTTCAACAGCTTGCTAAAATAGACAAATTTCTTGTAAAAATATCGAAGTCGAAAGTAAGCATCTATTTTTACTTTAAATTCATATATAACTTTTGATTTGTATGCATTAAGTTTAAAGTAGCGGTTAAGTATATTACTGATTTACATTATATAAAAACTACAATTTTGACAAATAAAACAATTTATATTTGACTGTAAATTTAATTATCAGGTAATATAATATGATTATTGAACAAGTTTGATGCAATTATTTATTAGAGTCTAGATTAAAAGAACTGTAGTATTTTATGTATTCATAAATTGTTTAAGAAAATTATACATATTCTATTGACGGTAATTAATTATATATTTATATACCTACCCTATTTATAGTGTAGGTATATATTCATAATACATACCAGTCACCAATAGATACTATATATGTTTAAGGTTGAAATAATTTTGTTGAGATTGTGTACTTTTTACTTAGAATATTATATTTAGAACAATATAAAACTTTGTAGGGGGGTATGAGGGGCTTAGCCCCCCCCCCCAAAGTCTGTCTAACCGGGAAACTGATTGCAACCCTAACGATTTAKCCCAATTTACGCCACTGCATATAGATATACTATTGAAATACTTAATAAATARGTAATTGAGTTGTTCCTTTGACGTACCGAAAAGCTATCAATGCATTAAAATGTACCTATATATTATAAGCACCTATTCTATCAAAATTATACAATATATTGTTTGTTTTATAGGCACTTATATACTTACATTTAGTATAATAGCATCGGCTTAAAGGAATAAAAAAAAAAAAAGAAAGAAAAATTGAAAACCGTGCACTATATACATTAATTTAATAATTAACAATGTATTGAAATAAGCTATAAGTACATACCTGACGACGAATTGTTATCCGCGTATGCGTTATCCGGTTCGTATTGTTCCGGACTGGGTGCATGATCGGATCCTATGCCGCTAGATCCGCCACTCGATCCCATTTTCGTGCCAGACCTTCGGAAATCTAGCTGCGGTCTTGCACCACTGCTGTTGACACCGACGATGTTTGCACTCATGCACCGTCGAAAGTCGATACCGTTTAGGTTTCCCCGGTGTCTGTGCACGGTATCATAATCTCTGGGCGGCAGCAGAATCGGCACGCCGCCGGTCTTGCCACCGGTGCCCAATTTTTTTTTCAACTCTGCCGCCAACGAATCGTACAGGGTCGTCACGTGGCCCGGACCCGTCAACCCGCCGTCGGRCGACGACAACGGCGGTTGTCGATGAGGGGGCGAATGGGGGGGCGACTCTCTTTTCCGATCGCTCCGGGCGCCGGCGCCGTGCGTTTCGGATTTGGACTGCAGTCTCGATTCGATGTCGTTGAGTTTCTTCTTGTTCTCCGGCCGGTCGACCAGCATTCGCAGCTGCGCGGACAGCAGAGTGGCCGTCTCGACGGTGTCGCACCGATAGACGTGCACGTGGACGGGCCACTTGGTGACGGGGTTGTAGAGGAGCAGGATCACGGCCACCAGGTCCTCGTCCTGGTGGACGCAGGTGACCGCGTGATCGGGGATCAGGTGCTTGACCAAGTCGCTTTTCGAACTCTTGCCGCCCGGCAGCGATATCAACGCCGAAACGTTGTGCACGATCTTTAATCCCCTGTGACTCACCTGGAGCGTGAACTTGTATGGCGTCACTTTCTTTTCCCTTTCAGCCAGAGCCGATATCACGGGAATTATGCTTTCTACGTCCCTCACGTTCTTACATTCCTGAGCTCCGAGAAACCAAACGTAATACGAACTTTTTTTTATGTCTTTTTTCATATTTGAATTTATTCACCGGTTAACAGATATACATGAATAAGTACTATTATGCTATACACAAGGTATAGGATAAACTACTAAAACAACTAAAACTATAAAAATTAAAACAAAAACATTAAAAATCACGACACGGCACCACCAACTATTCACTAACACACGAAAATAAGACGCAACAAGTAGACRGTTGAAGAATAACTGATGATCGAAGTTCCAGGTGTACTACAGCAGTATATAATTGTGGAAGTAGTAGTGGTACCGGTTCGTAGTTGGTATTTGAAAGGAACATAAAGTAGGCAGCGCTGCCAAGCGAAAACGATATAATGTCCTCGATGCATATTAAATATAAACGTAATTTTTTATTCACTGTTTATAAACTATTTAACGCTTATTCCAAAGTGAATTAAAAATAGAAATAATTTACGTAGATTGCAAATTCGATAGGTACCTATTAAAATCTTATAATAAAATATTTATATAATATTTGACTAATAATTGGCGTGCTAATGCTTTAAAATATACTTCATAAAAATACTAAATCAAATTAAATATTTCGATTTTTAAATATTATTTTAAAGGTAAAATATACAATTAAAAATATATTATAATTAATAATTGAATACAAATCGGTCAATCTAGAATTTTTGTTCGTTTTATTACAATAAACAGTATTTATACGGTAGGTGTAAGTATGAAAAATATTTGTAAAAATAAAATGTGACCACCTAATCGAAAGTTTTAAAAACAATCCGGCTACTCCTATCCGGATATTGCGGCCTACATACCTAATATCTATAATATAAAATTCCATATAATAGATTTGACCGATTTTGGCTGAAAAGGATTATTATCAGGTAAATTTAAATATTCTTAATAAATTTACAAAATAATTGTTTACAAAATAATATTATAGATAAATAGTTAAATAAATATTAATTAATAATAATCTTGTGTTATACATAGCCACATACTCAACTTAAAAAAATGCATTATCTGTTGAACTATGAAATAATAAGCTCAAACATTATAGGAATTGTAGTAAAATTACTGAAACGCATTAATTTAATTTAAAAAAAAAAAGTTTAATGCATACAACTTCGTTTAAAGCATATTTGGGTCTTGTTGTATTTGATTAKTTTATATTAAATTTAAACTAGTCATTATCATCAAATTTATGTAAGTTAAGAATAGAAAACATTTACTTCAAATTCTTCAAAACAAAAAAAAATGCAAAATTTTTTTGGTGCACTTCTCGTAGTGTTAGAAACTTAAAATTTTAACCATAGCTATCAGAAATATATTTCATGGTCTGCTGTAAAACATATTAATGACTTTATATTTTTCCAGAAAGGAGAATTAATTTTTTTGGCTCGTTTTAAGCTATATTTATTGATAATTTAAATTTTTTTGTACTTGATGTTCATCATTATTATTATGAAAACCGGTTGAAAATTAAATACAAGGATTTTCATAAGTTGTTATATTAGCGATTTTAAAACATTGAAAATGTAATATAATATATCATGTACATTTTACGTTTTTATGATAATATTTAGGTACATTTTATGTTATTAAATTTAAAATTTTAATCGTACAGACTATTGAAATTTTCCACCATAAGGTATAGGATTAATAAATAATAAGTAATATAATATGAAATATTATAATTGTTAATATATATGTTACATAAACACAATAAACGCAATATTTTTAGCAAAAATAGTTCAACCTACTTTATTACAAATAAAAAAATAAATTACTATTAGTTTTATAGATATATTTTAAAATGCTCAAGAAATAGACACACCGTTTCCGCTGAGAACCGTTTTTCGTATACTGCGGTGCAATGATTTATCATCAAAATCAATTTTAATAATACATTCATTAACCTACTGAATGACGAGGTAGGTACTCTCAAACCCTACAATATAACATTGTGAATTCCCTGCAGGTTTTTTATTCTCCAATATATTATCCTTTTTATGATTTTATATGAATTATTTTAGTCTATAGAAATTTATTACTCTGTAAATGGCCATAGTAGGTGCTTATATGTGTTACGGACTATATCCGGTGCTTGGCTGATATTTAACATTAATTATTAGTAAGCTTACGATCAGTTTCACTATGTATTTTTACCAGTGATACTATAATTGTCAGATTTCAGCCACCAATACCAGTGGATAATTTTAATATACCAGCTGATTAAATTAAAATTATCCAACTGTTAGCATAAATTACTTTAAATTAAATGTACTTATATTACAAGCAATTATTTATTTAATAACAATTTTTTCTCGTTAGTTAAAAACTTACTACTCAGCAGCAAATGCCCGTATTAGTAACATTATATTATTTACATTTTGTTTAGGTACTTGTAAGCTCGTAAGATATTATACGATTAACCGAATATATTTCTGTAAGAAAAATATATTTACAGTTACAAAATGTTTAAATGTATTATATTTTTAAGAAATTAACTTTAAGTCAGAGAAAAAATATCTTAAATCTTTGCACTGGAACTCAAGAATGTACACTTCTTTAAACACATAAAATGGATTTTAAGTCTATCTCAATATAGATGAGACGTTTCCCCCAGGAAATGCCTATTATTGTAGTTTCTATTCTATTTCCGAAACTGATATGGCTAGGTGATCCAATACATATATCTATATATTTTATTATTTATCATTTAACTTTTGATGGTAATACGTTTAATAATCTGGGAAACGAAAATGGCATGATTAACACAATTATATTCAAAAAAGCCTTCTTTGTCCAAACGATTTAGGTACTCAATTTGGAAGCGTTTCAGAAAAATCTAAATTATTCAGTAAATTAACAAATCTTTAGTCAATGGCACAGGGGATAATATTATTTAAATTACTTCATAAATGGTTTTGTAAATGTGGTTAGTGATTACGTGTCACGTAAATAAAAATTTGAGAGTTTAGAAGTATTGTGTAATCGAAGGTGCCACAATAATATAGTTCCACGTGAAATAATGATTAATAAATAATACCATTGGTTATAAACATTAGTATTTATAATCAATGATAGTACCAACTAGGCTACTTTACAATGTTACATTAATTAAACTTACATATTAAATGAGAATTTTCAACATAATTATTGGTAGTTGAAGTAAAAAATGTTGCTATTTGTAAAAGTCTGAAAATTAAAATATAAATATATAATATGCGTTCATTATCTCCATGTGGTTTTCTGTAAATTCGACAACATATTATTATTTTAACTGTTCGAAGCTGTAAAAAATAGTAAGAAAATATAATTAAAATATAGTTTAGTTTAAAAAAACCATGAATGATTCCCGAGCTTCCCATTATGAAAATTGACATTTGATATATATTAATATGTTTGTGATTTTATACTAAATTGAAGTGGAATATTTCATTATAACCTTGAAAATATTATTTTTGATAACATTATCTGGCAAGTAGTATTTATTTATTTTTTTAATGTATAATACATAATTTTAGCAAGGCTTAGAGAAAATTTTTTTTAAAATTCCAAATTATAAAAAAACCTATTTTTTCATAAAAACGGTCATTTTTTACTAGTATATCGTGTTATGTTAATGCTCCATAAAAATAAAAAAAAATTATTTAGAATTTTTTACAGGATTTATGAATTATTACTATTAGTTATGTTAGGTATTTGGAAGAAGCATCAGAAAATTGCAGTCTGCGGCATTCTTTGCACACGTTTGAAACTTGTATATCACATCGCATAAGTATGCGATCTCTCGTGCAACGAAAGATGGTTTCGCGTGTGAGAGTATAATGTTATAACATTACACTTTTACACATTACACGGTTTTCGCTCTCCGTCTACAGCTAAACCTTACGCAGCTGTAATTGCCTCCGATTCGCCGTCATAGTTGCGTGAAGTCGTATACGATATATATTTTATATACATTAAATGTAGTTTTTATATATATATTTTTTTTTTATTTTGAGAAAAAAACTATCTGTAATACAATAGTAGGAAGGTAGGTTTTACATTAGGAAGTTGCACTGAATGTAATTGAGTAGTGACTAGTGGGGCGTGGGTGAAGCTGATATCTGCATTGAGACCACTTCGGCATGGTTCATTTTATTTTACAATAAGAAAATGAAATAAATTTAAAAAAAACAGTGATGTTAACTATATTGCCTAGGTATACATTTCTTGTCATTTTGTACAGATACMTACATCCCGTATAAGTTATTCTCTTCTTAAATATAGGTCTTATTAAGGTTTCTATAGTCATAGTGGCTTATGCATAACTTTTGTATGACAGAAGCTAGAGGGAGTTATCTTAACTATATATGGGATATATGAATATAAAATTTTGGTATTTTATGGTGTTTATAATGCGCGAAAACAATGAATGTTGATATACGTATGTCTATTATAATATATGTATAATAGGTATTATATTTACCTATATTTAAAAAAAAAATGTTTTAAATGAGGCTCAAACACCTCAAATTTTAAGATTTATAGTTAGGTAGCTATATCTTCTATTATAACTATAAATAGACGCAAATGTGCCCAAGTCCGATCGCGGTGAAACTTTGGGAACTTGTTGAATATACTACTGCGAAGGTTTCTAAAATAGTATATAACCTAACCTGGTGTATTAAAATCTGAACTGGGTTACATCAAAACCGGTATACTCTGATTATTTTTATAGCGCCTTATTTTGTATTAATTGATTATTTTTTCCCAGGTGAAGTCAGGTTATACATTATAGCTACATCTAAAACAACCGGATGGCACATTTTACTCAATCCGCCGTAGGTTGAATTAAGTAAAAACGATAAACTTGGTATAACTTTGAGAATTGAGAGCCAGAAATTACCCACTTACCTACGTACACAACTCGAGTGGTCCACAATCAACCACAAATGGATTGTCTACCCGCGATAAATGAAAATATACGCGACTCATATAATCACAGGCGAATCTCACCCGTATTACACCTGACGGGATGAACATAATAAATATAATCAAACGTGTCCAGACTGCAGAATCGCCGGCTGATCGAAGTRAAGAGTCTAAACAATGATATTTTGAGGTTAGAAAATTATTTTCGAAATTCGATTTTAAAGTGATGCTTGYACGGTTATTTTAAGATTCAARTTGGCCGATGAAAATATTATTTAAGTTTTTAACATCATTACACCGAACATTAAAT